TATTTCATTAATGAAAAAATTAAATATACACAATTTACTAACAGCAAACTAAAAACCAGTCATTTAAAGCCAGGAATAACCTTGAGTCTTTATCATGCTGCAAGGCAACTAAAATACGTGGATAATGGCTTTCAAACACTTTTTTTGGGCTGTTGCTTCATGGGTTTTCATAAAGATGAAAAGAGAACTAGTCAGGATCAATCCAGTCTCCTTTGTGCAGAAGACAATTCCTTTTCCTTTTCGTCTGAAGGGCCTTCTAGATACTCAGCTTCCACTGAGAGCTCTACACCCTGCGTCTGCAGAGCTGAGTTTCCTTGCTCACCCCATATAGTTGGGCAGCCCAGCTGTGGTGGAACAAAAAAGAGTTATAATAATAATAATCATTATTATTATTATTTCTGGTTTGTTATTATTATTATTTCTGGTGATGAATATTCTCTGAGACTGGATGACAGAAACAGAAAAATGTAAAATGAAGGTGAGCTCTTGTAATTGTGCCTGTAATCCTGGATACTGGAGAAGTTTGATACACTAGGTTTTGTGTGTGTGTGTGTGTGTGTATGTGTGTGTGTGTGTGTGTGTGTGTGTGTGTGTGTGCTCTCCAGTTTCAACACAAAGCAAATGTTTGTCCAATGAAATACTTTGTTAAAGCCTGGGAGCCAGACTCCAAACTGGTGGCTCATGCCTATAATCCTACCTACTCAGGAGGCTGAGGTCTGAGGATCGTAGTTTGAAGCCAGTCCAGGCAGGAAAGGCTATACTAACATATTTATGATTTTTTTTGTTGCTTTGTATGTCCCTCCTCCATGGTATAACCCCTGTTTTCACTGTATTTGATGTTGGTATAATTTGTGGAGGGGAAGGGAAAAAACATATTGTTTAAATAGGGATACAGGTGGACCCATTGCAACAATGAGATGTACAAGTCGTTATGTTGAAAACGAACTTCACAACTTTGGTGTGTGTGAGTAGATCGGGTAGGGGAGGTGGGGGGGAGTATGGGAAGGGAGGGGAAGGGGAAACAAAGAGGAGGCAACAATGCTTGATAAGAAATGTACTCATTAGGGGCTGGGAAGGTGACTCGGTGGTAAAGCGCTTGCCTTGCATGCATGAGGCCCTGGGTTCGATTCCTCAGCACCACATAAGAAAAAAGAAAAAAAGCTGAAAGTGGCGCTGTGGTTCAAGTGGTAGAGCACTAGCCTTTAGCAAAGAAAGCTCAGAGACAGTGCATAGACCCTGAGTTCAAGCTCCATGACCAACAAAAACCAGCCAAACAAAAAACCCCTGAGAGCTAGACTGGGCACTGGTGGCTCATGCTTATAATCCTAGCTATTCAGGAAACTGAGATCTGAAGCCAGACTTGGTAAGAAAAGTCCATAAGATTTTTAATCTTCAACTAACCAGAGAAAGAGCTGGAAGTGGAGCTGTCATTCAAGTGATAGGGCACTAGTGGTGAGCTAAAGAAGATCAGGGCTAGTGTCCAAGCCTTGAGTTCAAGCCCAAGTATCAGCACAAACAACACCAAAACAAAACAAAACAAAAAACCTGGGGGCTAGTGATTGATCAGCACTTTCCCTAATATATACAAGGCCCTGTGTTCCATCAGCATCACAAAAATAGAAAACTATGCAACAGAAATCTTCTCAGTGCTTCTGATCACTGGTAAGAACACTTAAGACATTGTGTAAACCTGCTAGAGTGATAAAACTATGTCTTATTCCTTTGGATTAAATAGTGTTAGAAGCCAGTCTTACATTGGGTGGTTGGCTGACCAGTTTTTCTCCCTTTGTGAAATTTTCCAATTTGTTAAGTTCTCTGCTCTTTTCTTTCCTAGATTTTTGGTACTTTACTAGATATATGGGTCCCGTGGACTTTCCTATTCAGGCTGGCTTCAAACCATGATCAGCAGATCTCAGCCTCCTGAGCAGACAGGATTATGGTTGTGAGCCACAGGTCTTCAGCTTAATTCTCTGGTCTTTTGACTCATTCCTCAAGCAGTAGGAGTTAATTGATTATATCTGATATATACCCATTGTATTATATTACTACAAAAAGAATATTATTATTTTGGTTATGTATGTCCTTTGAGTCTGAATGATGGAAACAGAGAAATGTCAATGAATCTGGGTGACAGTGGCCCATATCTTTAATTCTACCTACTCAAGGAGGCTGAGATCTGAAGAGCAAAGTTTAAAGTCAGAAAGAAAGAAAGGAAGGAAGAGATAAAGAAAGAAAGAAAGAAAGAAAAGTATAGAAGAGAAAAGAAAAGAAAAATGTCAAGTGGCTTTGCCTGTATTTGATTACAGATATCCTTTGGTATCTGTAAGGGGTTGGCCCAGGGATCTCCTCAAGTACTGAATGTTTTGGTGCCTATTTTTATCTTATATCATTTGGCTTAGTATTTGCCTAGAACCTACATGTGTGTAGGTCCTCTTGTAACCTTTATATCACCTCCACATAATGTACAATACTTAATAATGAAGTCAATGCTGTGGAAATAGTTACGTCATATTGTTCAGAGCATAATGACAGATAATAACAGTTACGTATTTCCAGTATTTTTGCTCTGCCATGGCTACCATGGTAGCACAACCTGTGGATATAGGATAATTTTTTAAAAATTTATTTAAGGTTCTGGGTGGACAAGAACATTAAAAAAAGTCTCTCTCTCTCTCTCTCTCTCTCTCTCTCTGTGAGTGTGTGTGTGCGCGCGCCAGTATTGGAGCTTGAACTCAGGCTTTACACTCTCACTTGGCTTTTTTCATTTATGCTAGCTCTCTACCACTCTTGGGCCACATTTCCACTTCTGGCTTTTTGGTGGTTAATTGGAGGTAAGAGTGTTATAGACTTTTCTATTACACTTGGTTCAGACTGTGATCCTTAGGTCTCAGCCTCCTGAGTACCTAGGATTACAGGCATGAGCTACCACTGTCTAGCTCTTTTGTTTGTATTTTAAAAGAAGGTACTGATTTAAAAAGTTTTAACTGAGTAATAATAAAAGCAAAAAAAAGCCAATCCATCCCATTGCCTTATATTTCCATGCACCAGCTTCAATGTACAGGTTCTGCCTGGAGTAAAATCCTAGCTGTGAGAAGTGATATAAATGTTATTCTTTCCTGGTCATTTCTGCCCCTGTGTAATGCAACCACAGGAGCCCCAGGCTGTGAGGTTTACATGGGACCCCACTTTCATCAGCTCAGCTGGAGTGGAAGAAGAAGAAGACAGGGAACCTTTTTTGTGGTAGGGATTTAAGACTAAGCTTAGCTTTCCTCTTATATCTGTATAGATGAGATTTCCCAAATCATGGCGCTCTTCTGTTGAAATTCAGGAAAGGAGGAGGGCCGGGATATTTGTCTTTATTGTATTCTGGAAGATTTATTCTATCATGACAGCATGCATGGTGGTTATCTCTGCCTATCCATACACTGTGTGTTGGTGGGTTCAACCAACCCTGGACAAAAAAAAAATCTGTTACATCTGTCTTTAACATATATCAACATTATTCTTGTCTTCATTCTTTAAATAATACAGTGGAACAACTGTTCACACATTATCAGGTATGATAGGTAGTCTAGAAATTATGTAAAGTATACAGAAAGATGTGCCTGGGTTCTAGGCAGATCTGACATCAGTTTTACAAAAATAAGGGATTTGAGAATCTACAGGTCTTGTTATCTGTGGGGCAGGGAGGATTGGGGTCTCAGAAGCAGTTCCTTGGGTACACTCAAGGATGACTATATTAACATGTAGTTGGGGTTTATTTGTCTCAGAATTCTTCCATGATGAGCTGGGTACCTATGGCTCATGCCTGTAATCCTAGCTACTCAAGAGGCTGAGATCTAAAGATCTTTGTTCCAAGCCAGCTTGGTCAAAGAAAGTCAGTGACACTCTTCTCTCCAATTAGCCACCAAAAAGCTGAAAGTGGAGCCGTGGCTCAATGATAGAGTACCAGGTAAAGCTGGCAGGTCCTGAGTTTAAGCCCTAGTACTGGTGCAAAAGAAAGAAAAAAAAAGAAAAAAAATCACAAATTAGAGTTGCACAGATTTTGCAAAGTGCTTGGAAGTAGTCAAAAATTATGTATGTATGTATGTATGTATGCATGTATCTAGCTATCTAGCTATCTGTCTATCTATCTCTCTATCATTCTAAAAATCAGTTATCAGTCTTATACAGGTTGAACATCCTTAATCTGAAGATAAGAACTCTGAAGTATCTTTAGTCTCTTGAATTTCTGAGCACCAACCTTATGCCTCAAGTGGAAATTTCCACAAATGAATTTTTTTTGTGTGAAAAATATATCATTCTATCCATATATCTATTCCAAAATGTGGCCATGAGCTGTGGTGGCTTAGGCCTGTAATCCAAGCTACTCAGAGGCTATCAGAGGATCATGGTTCAAAACCAGCCCAGGTAGAAAAGTCCATGAGACTCTTATCTTCAATTAACCAGAAAAAAAATGCTGGAAGTGGGATTGTGGCTCAATTGTTGGAAAGTCATCCTTGAGAGAAAAAGCCAAATGAGGGCTGGGAAGGTAGCTCAGTGGTAGAGCACTTGCCTTGCATGCTCAAGGCCCTGGGTTCGATTCTTCAACACCACATAAGCAAAAAGAAAAAAGCTGGAAGTGGTGCTGTGGCTTAAGTGGTAGAGCGCTAGCCTTGAGCTGAAGAACTGAGGGACAGTGCCCAGGCCCAGAGTTCAGGCCCCACAATCGGAAAAAAAGAAAAAGCCAAATGAAAGCTCAAAGTCCTGAGCTTGAATGAACCCCATTTCTGATACAAAATAGATGATAGATAATAGACAGACAAACAGATGGATAGACAGATACATAGATATTCCAAAATCTGAAAAAATAAAATCCAAAACACTTCTGCACCCAAACATTCAGAATAAGGAACACTCAACTTTCCCCATGTTATAATAGAATGTAACTGATCTTTTAATACAGAAAGTAACTAAATTTGCAATGCATTAATTTTCCTTTTTTTCTCTCTTTTAAACAGGAAAAACTAACCCAAGAGTGCGTATTCAGAGAACAGTTTGAAGAAAACTGGTATAACACATACTCCTCAAACCTATATAAACATGCGGACACTGGAAGACGATACTATGTTGCATTAAATAAAGATGGAACTCCAAGAGAAGGGACCAGGACTAAAAGACACCAGAAATTCACACATTTTTTACCTAGACCAGTGGACCCGGACAAAGTACCTGAACTATATAAGGATATTCTAAGCCAAAGTTGACAAAAGACAATTTCTTCACTTGAGCCCTTAAGAAAAAAAAAAAAAGTAACCACTCTATAAAATGATTTCATGCGGTGGGTTCTCATTGATTAGCTGTGTCATCTCCTCGGCTCCACTGTTGCCAAACTTTGTCGCATGCATAATGTATGATGGAAGCTTGAATGGGAACATGCTGATTTTGTTCTGCACTTAAAAGGTGAGTCCTCTCTGAGGGCTGCCTGGGGCCACTTGCTTGATTTATTTGTGAAAGGTGAGAGGGAAAGAGAGAGGAGAATGGGAGAGGGAGAGAGAATGGGAGAGAGATTGGGAGAGAGTAGCAGGGCAAATCAAAGACCCCAGAGAACAGAGACGACGCCTGATGCATGCTGGGAAATAGACACGCTTTTCCATTTTTGATCAGCTGAACTCCATCGTCCATCAGCACAGCTGCCATACTTCAACTCATCAGGATATTTTGGCTGGTAGCCTGACGTTTAAGGGTACACTGCGTTTTCAGAGGCATGGAGGGTGCAGTCTTACTTATAAAAAAACGAAAAACAAAAACACACACACAAAAAACTTTTTCAGTTAATTCTCACTGGTAGCATCCCAGTGAACTTAAAAGCAAAGACCTCTTAGTTTAAAAAAAAATAAAAAATAAAAAGAAGAAAAAAAAGGAAGAAAAAAAGGAAGAAAAAAAAGAGGAAAAAAAAAGAAAAAAGTTAAATTTATTTATAGAAATTCCAAAGGTGACATTTTATTTATTTTATATATTTATTTATTATATAGAGTTTATTTTTAATGAAATATGTACAGGCCAGATAGGCATTTTGGAAGCTTTAGGCTGTGTAAGCATTAAATGGTTAAGTCTGCTATGAACCTGTGGTAAATTCATGCAAGTAGGTATCACGGTGCATGGATATGAGAAATTTCTAATGACCCTAATGTACTAAAGGCGACAATCTATTTTGTGCCCATATTATTGTAAACTTATGCACTTGCTCATGACACTGAGTCTTCACTCTTCAGACTGCTTGTTTCATAGCTTATCCCAGAGGATTAAAGATAAAACTGGGTCTCAACCTTTTATTCTGTGTCTGTAATTTTCCTCTCTCTTAAGTGATTTGTATTACTGTAGTTTCATGGTTGGAAAATATGAGGGATGGTATATGTCTTATTTGTCTCAATCTATCACAGAATATACCAAAGCTAAACAATAACTTTGCTTCTTATTTAACCCATCTCCAGAACAATGAGACTGACATCAAACATCCTGCTGATTTAGAATCCTCAAAAAGAAGGAAAAAACAAAAGCTTACATAGCACTGACTTTTTATTGTTTTTTTAAGAGACAAGATTTGGATTAACAGGAGCATTCTTGTAAACTTTTTATTTGTGCACTTAGTCATCAGATTTGAAATCATACAAGTATCATAGGAGATCATTGTAACATCTTTTATAGAGAATTGCTTCAGGGTGACCTGTCATAATTATGTGGTAATGACACCCTTTAAGTTAAATTTTCAACATGAAACCAATAAACCTTTATCAATAATGACTTTGAGGGGCCAAACATTGTAATCATTGACTGTGTTTTGTTTTGTAAAATAGTCTTCAAAACTGCTCAACTTTTTTTTAAGAGGGAAACTTACTACTATCTAGGATATCTTTTACAAGCTTTTATAACATATTATGCTGAAAAGCATAAGAATACATACTCCTTTGGTAGCAATAATTTTGGAACTTGCCCTTGGGTGAGGGAGACTATTTCTTACTATCTACTAATGTGAAAAGAGCCAAAATTCTTAAAGCAATATTTAAGGGGGGGATGGGGGGAGGGAAGTAATTTATATAACAAATTCTTCATCCATACATCACACTTTCTAGCCAATGGCATTAGAATATTAAAAAAATGACAGTTAAAAATATGTTGGGCTTTATGTAACTAATTAAAAAATTCAATGTTCTAGTTTTGTTTTGCTCAGATGCACATTCTCTATGAAAAATAAACATGTCAGTAGCAAGTTAAAGCTTTTGAGGAATGAGAGATGCATAACTTACATTGTGAGCAGACACACATAGCTTCTATATTTCACATAAGAGTGCGTGGTAATACCCTCCTACTGTTGTGTGTTGAGGAAAAAAAGGAAATAATATTTGGAATTGAAAATTACAGAAGCACTGTAAAATGGTGGTTTATGATAGAATATTGAAAAGTCCTTTTCATTTTATTTTTTTGGGATTTTTTTCCCCTTTCAGTTTTCTAAACAGAAACCCACTTAATTCTAAGTAGTATTCTTATTTATTATCTATTTGCTGCTGCTAAAATATGCACATATTCAGACTTTCATTTTTTTCAAATGACATTTAATTTTTGTTTTCTGGCTAAAAAAAAAAAGATTAAATCTTTGACCACAAGGGGAGAAGAAACAAGTTTCTAGGATGTCAAAGGACTAATACTTATCACTGAAGAAATTGATTTTGGAAGACAGCCAAAAGTAATCTTAAAGTAACATGAGACTCCAGATAATTAGCCTTAAAGAATGAGAGAATTGTGAAAAACAAAACAAAAACTCCCTCAAATCTCCATGCATTCCTAAAAAAATGCTATTTTAATGTCTACTTTTGGAGTTATTTTGTTTTTGGTAATTTTATTTCTTAAAGGAAAGCAAAATGTTATATGCTTTTGGCAAACGGATACAATAAACTGTAATGGTCTGTAAATAAATAAACATTGACTTATGCAATTGATGTAAATAGGTGTTCTGGGAGAAGAAGATGGCTCAGGGCTTCTGTGTGTGCATGGTCTTGTTGAGCAGTAGTTACCCCCAGCTCTGGGTATGCATCCGGTTCTTGTCATAAGAGACCCCCAAGCTCGTTGGATGGCAGCCCAGAGCCCCCCTGTGGAATGGGTGGTTCCATTTTCACAAACAGATGCTCACATAGCCAAACCACCCTCTTGTTGGTGCCAACTCCGACACCTTGGTCAAAGACTTAACCCTGCATGGATGGAAAGGAACCACCTCCCCATCTGTCATGCAAACGTCCCCTAGCAGTGTGGAAGGACATGCCAGGTCAGCATTTGGGGAACTGCCCTGCCAGGTCCTGTTTTGTAGATAAAGGAATGGTGATTTCATTCTATTTCATCTCGTTAACACGATGACAATGACCTTGTGTTATTTACTTGATAAACTGTAATTGTATGTAAATACATACAGGATAATGTAATTTGTGTAAATACATAATTACAGACTTTTTGAAAACTGGCATTTTTTTTTTTCACTTGATGTCCATCTTGGAGCGGTTGCAGATTCTGTGCCTACATAACCAAACAGATTTAAAAAACACACACCCCTTGTTCTTACAGCTGTGTGTGTTTGTGGATGGGTGGGTGGGGGGGAGGTTGGAGGGGAGGAGCAAATGTAGGCAGATGTCTTTTCTGTAAAGAAAATGAAGAAGCAAGTGATTTTCTGGGATGAAAATTTACGGACTTGAAGCAAGCAAATCACACTGTATTTTTTTTTTTTTTTGCGCATTTACTCAAATGGGCGAATGAACAAAGGCATAGTGTTTGAGGTCAAATTCTATTTAGTGCATCACTTGACATTGAAATGTGCCAAATATAGATGCACTGTTCGTGGCCACTTGCACGAAAGAGCTGTGGAGGGTGGGAGGAGGAGGGGCAATATGCCAGATGGAGTCAAAAAATGAATTAGCCATCAGGCCCCTCCCACGTGGCTGTGTATGTGTGGTCCATGGACTCCTAGAATACTCTCATGCATCTGGAGATATTTCCATTTTTAAACTGATATTTTATTCTTACAAATAGAATAGGGGAGGAATTGTAACAATAAATAGCCTCTATCTCTTTCAATACCCAGCCTAACATTCAAGAATCCGAGATTGTAGAATGGATCATGGGTACGGAAAGATTGGCTGGAAAATGTATGAATGGAAGCTTGAAAGGTTATTTTTCTCCCCATATTGGACAACAGAAATTCATTTTATACTACTGTTATTATTAATGCGTAGCCATAAAATTTATACAGTGAGGGATGGATTTCCTCTATTTTTGAAAGCAATGCTATTTCAAAATAGACAAATTTTCTTTTTGCTAGAACTGGGGCTTGAACTCAGGGCAACACACTCTTGTTGGCATTTTTGTTCATGATTGGTGCTTTGCCACTTGAACCATGTCTTTAGTCCAGCATTTTGCTGGTTAATTGACTACAGGAGTCTTGTAGACTTTTCTGCCTGGACTGGATTTGAACTGTCACCCTCTACATCTCAACCTCCTGAATAGCTATGATTACAGACATGAGCCACCAGCACCTGGTAGAAGACAAGTGTTCTTAATGTGTTTTCCCCTTCTTGCGTAATCTCGCGCAGTTGCAGACATCAGATTGCTGGACAGACAGCTGGATCTTAGGTCAGACAATTTTTGTGAGGTTTCTTTGTTAGTTTGACTATTCTTAAGAAAATTCTGACTTCACATTTTTATTGGACTCCAACTATACCTCAGCTTATCCTGAGCAAAACATTTTTAAATTAAAAAATTAATTTGGAGTTGGTTGTGGGGGGCTTGGGTGTTGTCCCTGAGCTCTTTTTGCTCAAGGCTAGTGCTCTATCACTTTGAGCCACAGCACCACTTCTGGTTTTCTGGTGGTTCGAGATAAAAATCTCATGGATTTTCCTGCCTGGGCTGGCTTTGAACCATGATCCTCAGATTTTGGCTTCCTGAGTAGCTAGGTTTACAGGTGTGAGCCACCAATGCCTGGCTAACTTTTAATTTTAAATTAAAAAATTCTTCATTTTTTTCTCCTCTTGGTGGGTCATCTCTATAATCCTAGTTGCTCAAGAGGTTGAGATGTGAGTATTATAGTTCAAAGCCAGCCCTGGCAGGAAAGTCTGTGTGACTCTTCTCTCCAGTTAGTGAAAAACCAGAAGTGAGCTGTGTCTCAAGTGATAGTGTGCTGGCCTTGAGCAAAAAAGCTCAGGGACAGCACTGAGTTCAAGCCCCAGAACACATACTCTCTCTCTCTCTCTCTCTCACACACACACACACACACACACACACATACACACATACACACACACAGAGACACACACAGACACAAATTCATAGGTCCACCAGATATCTGAGAAGCCCTTGAAAAGGTATATGTGGACCTGAGCTTTGCTTTTCTTCCTTATCCTTTTTAGAAGGTTGATTTCCACCGTGTGGTGTGTGTGTGTGTGTGTGTGTGTGTGTGTGTGTGTGTGTGTGTGTGTGTATTTATCCAGAACAGTTTGACACCAGGAGAAGAGCTAAAGAGTTAGATGAAGTTATATGTTGAGACCATCCATAGCGAAACCCCTCCTCACAGGGGAAGGGCAAGCATTGTTATTAACAGTCATGGCCCAGCTTGGAGACTCCCTGCCTCCCCCCAGCATCCCCCATCCCCTTTTTGGTGCTGATCTTGAGGTTTGAACTCCGGACTTTGGTGCTATCCCTGAGCTTTTGTGCTAGGCTAGCACTCTACCACTTGAGCCATAGCTCCACTTCCAGCTTTTTTGAGTAGTTAATTGAAGATCATTGTCACATAGACTTTCCTATCCAGGCTGGCTTCAAATAATGATCCTCAGATCT